TTTAAGCGAGACATGTTTTGTGGCTATAATGTGAGCGTACACCTGAGTTTTTATTGTAAATGTCGGCAAATCTACAACGCGCATTTAAACTGACTCGACCTAACCGTGGGGATCTTCGCTAATTTGGTAACTTGGTAAGTTGGGAACAATTGAACGGCGCCTTGTTCCCTTATTGCAAGGATTGTTGGTTTGATGCAAATAAATAGGAGCATACTCACGTCCCAAATAATGTAGGCATAGTCACCACAAATCCACAGCTTTGATCCGAGCTGACATTACTTTATAACATGCATTTTCGCCACCCTGTTGACGCATCCAAGGCGTCGTGTTTGAATCATGTCATTATCGTTTTTGGAGAAGATTTATTGTTTTCTTGGCCGACCGACTCGAACCATAAGCATTGTATTCGAATCTGCGACCCTGACCTGAACTGACACAATATAACCACGGACATCTTCGTCAAACCGCTGACTGACCCGACAGGTCCAGGCTGACTCGCGCCACTGTCATCGACAATGTTTGAAAAGTGGTTTTATTGGCACACAAAAGTCGTGTCAATTTGAAAGGCGCAAATCGTTTCATCTCTGGAGATTTACTTAGGACTCCAGGATAAGCTGAGTCGTAGTTTTCTTAATTGAGTTTGAAATTCAATTTAATTTAGTTTCATTGAGAGATTGATTTGCATTAAAGAGGCGGTTGAACCAGGATTTGTTAGTAAGCATTAAAAAAATGATTGAATAGGTGCTATTTCAGACTCATGCTTCCATTATGGGAAACATCCGAAAGTGATTGAAGAAATAATTGTCGGTTGAACACTTTGAGTTGCCTCGATGAGCACTCAAGTAGGCAATTGACTCGAAACTAAGGTTGGCGATTAGGCGGTCCTCGATTATACCGTGAGGGCATCATGGGCATGAGAACCGAAATCTCAAATAGTGAGGGTATTTCGGGCTAATAACTGCCTTCCCAACATTTGCATTAAGGCTGACTTTGAATGTTGGAAAGAGGATTGTAATGAAGCAAAAGCTTTAGCAGCAACTTATGAAACAGTCAAGTTAATGTAGCATCCATTGGCAGACGGTCTGCGGAAGGTTACACGTGGGTGATTGGCCGGGTGACAGGGGCCAGTCGTTAAGTTACCCTCACACAGACTGGTGTGTCTTGGTGTTCTGCGTGCTTTACCTACCTAGTCCAATCATTTTTGCATGCTTTGCAGCGGATTGACAATTGCCTTGTCAGACACAGCTTGGGATTGTAGTGCCAAGTGCTTTGGTTATTGAAGCTCATTCAGGTAATTATAAATAGACCTCTGCGATCCACGAAATTGGGAAAGTTAGCAGTGGAGAAGTGTTTTGTCATTTTTGATGTAAGCTGAGAAGCGAAAATTGAGATTTTGTCTCGCCCACATAAACGGATTAAGTATTGATTTGCTGTGAACATTTAACCCCTAAAAATTACTTTAAGTTCCTTATTAAAGTGTTTGGGTAGATGACGAATACACATATTCATCTCCAGCAGTGAAATCTGATAGGGTTTAAAAATTTTGTATTTCACAGTTCCTCATTTTGGAGCATGCCCAAAGTTCGCACTCGAATTTGCTATTGCTACAAGCGTTAGTCCACTACTTTTTTGACAGGCAAGTACTGCCACCCAAAGCACTAAGACGAGGTCGTTTTGGCAGTAGAGCTTTGTAAAACATCTTGAGGATTAACTACAGTTTTTGGGTTATGAGGAAGCAGAATAGGTGAGAGCAGGTGCGCATTGGTTTGCCTCTACACCCACACCAGTTGTGAAAAGAGGAATAGAGCTCAAGGCCGCCTTCCGCCCCAGCATTTGGACAGACTGCCTTCTCTCTGAGGAGCCAATGCTTTTCATTTATACTAGCATCACACAAGATGTAGGCAACCTCAAAATGACGCAGTTCTGCAACATTAAATTTTGTTGGCAACTTAGTTTCTGCATTTTCCACTTCAAAGCATTATTCGGAGAAGTAAATGTCCATGAAACCAAAAAAAGTTCTGTATGGTTCGGGTTACTTAGTTAATTTGGCTGCCGGTCAAGTTGAGATTATTCAAGTTGCCACATTGTTCAAGTAAAATAAACTGGGTTCCGATTGACGCAATAGCGACTATCATCTTTCGCTAGATAAATGCATTACATTCATGTATTATGCCTCATCGCATTCATAAAGAGGACCCGAAAAGAAATGCGGAATCTGTTGAGGGGTGCATTATGGAGGTATGCAAAGGGCTGGGCAAATATTGGTTCAAAATATTGATATAATTAATCCACGCACATGGAACAGTTGTAATATTTTGTTCATGTTATGCCTATATTACTAGTGGAAACTGTCGTAGTTGTCTTACTCTCCCAAGCAGCTGGCATTTGGGTCAAGCAAACGTCTAATCTTATAACGCATTAAAGTTGTCGTTTTAATCAGCCTTGTGGGTCAGAGCGCTTGTTGACCCTCCCAACTTACTGCTGATTAAGCCCCTTGCGGATGATAAACAAAACGCGTGCAAAAAAACTGTTTCCTGAAGAAACGCCAGGGAAAACTTTGAGCAATGAAAAGAGTGGGGTTGTAGGCGTTTTGGGCTTTCCTTCATTGAGACTTTCAAAAAGACCTTTCGTGGAAAACTTTTATTTCGCACTCATAGGAGGAGATTCATGCGGGGAGAAGCTTTCCAACCATGGTGTTCTCGAGTACCGCGTTCAAGCTAAATTTCCACTTTTTCTTTACAAAGTCCAAAATAAACACCCAATATGTGTTACGGGAACTACAAATCTGTTCCCCTTTCGTTTTAAATGCATGTGTTCTGTCTTACATAGTATATTTTACAATCTATTAAAATGTTTTGACATCTACAACAGTTAACTTGTTGTAATATTTTGTTCGTGAGACCAGTTGAACTCTGGCGGTTACTTTAAGAATCGACTGGCCTTCGGCCTAGGTGTAGATCTAGTTTCTCTATTCATTCTTGAATACACGCATTCAGCTCCACTAACTGCCCTCTTCCGCCACGTGGAATGCATCGGAACACTACACTTGTGATACTCGATGAAGACAAATTCTTTATTGTTATTAATATTTTCGGCTAAAATTCTAGACTTACCTATTTACCCGTTCGAATCGTTACCTTCGCCAATGCGCTATGGTTTTAGATGGACAGATACGGTTTTGAGATACCTACTTAAGTGAATTCCACATGGTGATGTGCCACATTTCGTGGTCTCACGTCGGCATGTAGTCTTTTAAGCACACGCTCGTTGGTTTATTTAGTTGACAAATAAATAATAAAGCCATTTCCAATACAATTAAATAGCGTAAATTTGTTATTAATAAGGATAGCGAGTCGTTCAGCAAAAATACGGAGAGCAATTATAAGATAAGGTTCGGAGGTACTCGCGAGGACCAAAATGTATGTTTGTTTGAATTTGTATTTTACCGTACTGGAGCATTTGCTTGCATATTATGGCGCAGTAATATTGTATTGGAGCGAGGCGCTAGAAATATTTAAAAGGCTGAACTATTTCTCTAATCTGTATTTTGCTGTAAGTTAAGTGCATCGGTTCACCTTTTTTTAATGCCTACACTATATTGCTGTTGGTTCCAATGTGTCCAACCCTCGTTTTCACTTAAAATATTCATAATATGTATATTACGCGCTACGTTTTTTTCGACAGACATACGCATGAGAAAATGGAATCGGAAGCGATTATTAGTAAAGCAATTGCACTTCAGCAACTATCAATATCTCCTTCAGGTACTAATTGTGTTATTGCTTGATGCGTTTATAAATGTAATGCTGCTTTTTTATCGCTATTTCATGTCAAAGTGTACTTCTGATACCTTCCACTCAACTGGTTTAATGACAAATAGATTTGTGTTATTATTTTATAGTCTCAAGCTTTTTTAATGCCTAGATTTCGTCGTCGCTTGCATGAGTTCGTCTTCGTGTTAGCTATTCATTCCTGACCATGGTAAAAAGCTGTAGCATCTTTGAAGATTTTTTGTTTTTACAGGTTAAATTGACAAACAAAATATATTGACATCATTCTCATTGCATTAGCTTCCGAAGTATTGGGCCATTGGAGGTTCCGAATGATATGTTAATCGTGTTAAATTGCTCAAATATTAATCTTCTATGTTTGTTCAAGATAGTCTGCGTTTGGAAAAGACGATTGTAATGTACATTCCCATGTAACTGTGCGGTTTAATGCTCTTTAATCTCCTCTCTTTTTTATCGATGATTTCAAGTTTTATGTTGACTGGTAATTGATCCCACTCCTCGAAGCCATCATCGAATGGTCCCCTGTGACTAGCATTGACGAAAAGTTAGTGTTTGGAGATCAGGAGTTACGTCATTTTCACTCTAATTGACGGGGCTTAGGACGCTTAAGTCCAATAGGTTTCCAAATATTGTCACTTCTGTGTTTTAGAAATGTGTTTTTAATTCTAGGCTTGTAGTTCGTAGGTTATATTTGGCTCTCGTTTCTTGGGAAGGAAATCCAGTTCCCTGTGATTGAAGAACTTAGTCATTTTTACGATTTCTGAGTCTCATAATCAGTGAGTAAAGTATGAACTCAATCTGATTGTGAGGACAATTTTATAGTCATTTGTTTGTGTCTTCACTTCAACGGTGAATTGGATGTAGTCAAGGGTACAGTGTCAGGGAGTTAGGATAGGGCAAAGGTATTGCTTAATCGTTTGATCCTGTCGTCGGTTCTAATATTTCCTATCTCTCACCTACTAAGGAAAGGGTTCGGAAGTTTCGTTCAAAAATTGTTGATGGAATCCTTAGCATCTCTTGTTGTCGATGGGATAGACCAAGATGTTTGTTGGAATCCTCTGAATGTCATGATCCCTAAGTAGAGAATATTGAATGGAATAAAGATGTTTAGCGTCCTTTCCCATCGGTGATTGACTGCCTATTTTATTGAAGCAGCTATCTCTGCCTCGGTAATAGTGATATTTCGAACCATTGTTAGTACAGGTATCTATGTGGTATGGTACGATTCTTGTGTTATCACTCTTATTAATTGTTTTAGTAGTATAGTGTCACTGCACATTCCAAGTAAGCGCGTACAAAATTTGTTTGTCGTTGATCCACATGCGCACGACCATCTTGTGTAATCACACTGCTTAACTCACCTCTAATCGGTGCCTGGCCACTCGGCTACTTTGTTTTGGCTCATTCACCTTACACATCCCCATACACTTGCTTTCCCAGTTTTCGATCGCTCAACCATATTGTTCTTTTTTAGACGTCAAAAGTTCAGATCAAGTGCCATCGCTACAAGACGCTGGAAGCCACTTCTCACAAACAGAGCTAAATTCTGTTGATGAGCCTGTCACTTTGCAGCAAACGTCACCAGATACTACAACACCCTCTTCTAGTGGCAACATTTCCGATCAAGACCAAGGAAAAGTATTCGCAGAGGTTGTTGAAGCTGCCAAGGCTGGTAATTGGCCTTTCTGAGTTTTGTGTCCTTAAAATAGTATGGTTCAACCTAGCACGACCACTTCTTCAATTTAGGCGATTTAGCAAAAATAATAAACCTCGTTTCATCATTGACGGAGTCATCACCTCCATCCATGAACCCGTCAACAGCACAGACGACATCTTCGTCTTCCGCGGTTTCGAACAGCTCTGGAGACTTGGTTCTTCCTAATTTATCTGAGGGTATTGATGCCGTCATTCAGAGTGCAGCCAACCCTTCTCAAACCTCTGTGGTGTCGACAACATCTGACACTCCTGCTATCACTGCAATTTCTTCAAATGATGCCAGTACTCCCGCTGGCGCTTCTTCGTCATCTACGCCTCCTCAGCGGCCACCATTTTCGTCCTCTCCCCCAGCTGAAGAGTCGAAAGCCTTATCAACACCATGGTATATATTTAGTTTCTTCAACTCATCCTCTTACAGTTTTATATAACTATTATGTCCTTTTTATAGTGAGGAAGAGAAAACTAAAGACTGCAAATCAGAGAATTCGCAACCGGTAAATGAATTGACGGGACCACCCCTCTCAGAACCGACAGTCACACCTTCAGTCGCATTGCCCACCACCGTGTGGGGTACATCCACAAATTTGCCTCCCAAGCCCGTCTGCGTCACTCCTTCAAATCTCTCTACGGATATTAACGTACAATTGACAGTCTTGAACTCGGCTGGCGAACTTAGTCCAGTTCATTTATGCCTACCAGAGCATCCACTTATTATACTGCGTGTTAACCCCATTCCAGGAGCTCGTGTTGGGCAAATAGTCACCTTGACTTTTTCTGCACAGATGATTTTGAAGACTATATCTAGCATTCTGGAAAATGGTGCCGTCTACAATGGTGCACCAATTATAATACCCATCTCTACGGCACCTCTACCTCCGGCCTCTACCTCAGCACCTAGCACAGAATCTGTTTCTAAGGCAATTGCATTGCCGGCGCCACCTCCACTCCCTTTGGGAATGAAGTCGGCAGCTTTGTCTGGAGCTCGGAAGATGCGAGCAATCGCACCGAAGCCCTCCAACTCTGCACCGGGTTCACTACCTGTCTCTTCGGTTGCTACTGCTGCGATGCGCACCGCCTCGATCAATCGACCAGCTAGAAAACTTTTTGCTGCTCCGGTTGCACCGAATCCCCTGACTTTATCAAACTCTTCCTCGGCAATTGCTCCAGCATCTGCCCCGATTGTTAATCCCGCCCCTCTTGTCAGCAGCAGTAATGCCCGTAGTGCTTCAATTCTCCGAAAAGTGAACGCCAATTCACCTAATTCGCGTAACCGTAATCGCAGAAAAAATCCTACTTCGACCCTCCCTCCCCCACCTCCAGTTACCGTAGCTGTTCCAACTACAACTTCGATTGTGCCCCAGTCCACCGGCTATATTGTCGACCCCACGTCAGGCGCCCTCATCACCACCGATACCAGCACTGTCTCCGGTGGATTTATCCAATCTATTATGCAATCGGGGCCGAATGGTCCTCATTTTTTTGCACCAACTGGTTCGATCTTGGTGGGTCCCTCAAACAATCTTATTCCAATGCCGATTAGTGGCGTTATTCCTGCTGAGAGTAAGCCTCCAGACACCGAAACCGTTGATTTAATCACTGGGGCAGGCAATTCCTATCCATCGGGCTTCCTTGTTCCCGCCGATGGCAGTAATGATGGATTCTCTCGACAGGTTTTTTTCACTAACGGAGGTGGACCGAATGGTCAGTTTCTCTTGCCCAGCTATCAGGCAGGTGCGCCAGGTGGTGAGTATATGCAATCCTTTTCTACGCAACAAGCGGAGTACTTGCAGACTAATGGAGGTGAAATATACTTCACCAGTGATGGGTCCTGTTACATGCCTTACACAGGAATCATTGGGCAACCACAACCGGTAGCCACTGTGGATATTAAGGATGACGGAAGTGGAGTTGACATGGTATCAGAAACAGATGACATCATCGATATCGCCATGCGCGTTGCTCGCGAGGATGTGGATTGTAGTGTAGCCGTTACCGGTGCTCCTGTTACTGCGGAGACTGTCACCACGGCCCCCGGAACGATTGAACTAACTGGTGACACCAATGGAGTTATCAGTGAATTTATACAGTCATCAGCCGTTCCTCCTTTGACATCCTCTGGCACAGATTTTGAAGAACAAGCTATTGAGCATGTCTCTCCAGTTATTGATGAATCTGTCTCTGCAGCTGATCAGCAAACTAGTACGGGTGATGCTAAGATTGATGCTCTCCTTGCTGAAGCAGCTCTTGTGAGCTCGGTTAATGGTGTTGGAGATAACCAGTCAGCTGTATCTGTTCCTGTCACTTCATTACTGGCTCCTCGTTCCAGCGTGTCGACAACTGCAGCTGCTGTTAATAATGCGGAGGCCTGTACAATAGTGGAGGCAAATGCAGTAGATATGAATGAGTTCCCCCAGTCACTCTACGATAGCTTTGCAAACTTCGAGGCTGCAATGATTCCAGAACCGGTTCCTCATTCCTCCACAGAGGCGGCTACGGAGGCGGCCTTCACTTATGTTACCCAGAAAGTTGGGGACCTTGACGCCGAATTTGGAACCACTGACTCTGATCTGGATGTCACTTCCACAAATGTTACAGAATCATTTCTTAAGTCACTAGTTAATCAGGCAGATGACTTAGAAGCAGAAATGGCTAATAAAGAAGAAACATGCAAGGTTACTGAATCTCTTGAAGGTCAAAAAGAGTCCGATGGTACATCGCAAAATGACGCAGATGGAATTACTTCCCAAACTGAGATGACGGATCTCTTTCAGCTTCCTTTTAGTCGAAGCGTTGACGACGATGTTACCGGTGGCGATAGTGATGACAATTTCTTTTCATTTACACGTGATTATGCTACTTCAGAACAGTTCGATGCGGCTTTGCAACTTCTCGGTTCACAACCCTCTTCCAACTGTTCGCCTTCTCATATTCAAGATGATGTTGACGAGGCAGATGATAGTAATGTAAATGGAACATATTGCGATGATGCTCCAATTGTTCCGGACAGTCTTTCAGTGAATGACCAGGAAGTAATATCAAGAGAGAAGTCGTCTAGTCATGACTCGAAACACATTGATGAGGTTTCATTTACCGAGTCACTTTTGCCGCCAGATTTAACCTTGAATGCCAGCGTCCTCGGTTCCCCTCCTTTATCGGATAAGCTGATGAATGAAGCCAGTATGCACAAGAAGGAGCAGGATGGGATCCCATCCCCTTGTAGCACTTCTGACCCAACAGATATTAGAGAGGCAGTTCCCATCGTCTCTGCTAATGTTGACGTTGAGGAGGAGGACGATGACTCGGGAAGTGAATTGGACTTTCTACCAAGTCGCAAAGGACCAGAACGCGATATAACTCCTCTACCATCACCAAAGAATCTTCAGTCATTTTCGCCAACACCGTCACAGTCCCAGCCAAAGGAATTACCATTGAGTGTCGAGGACATATCTAGTTCTCCACATCCCATTCCTCTTCCGATTACTACGTCTCCGATCTCCGCTACATCACGGAGAACTCTCAGGCTCCCCAGGCAATCAACTCCTCGTGTAAGGTTTTCACGTCGGAAATCAATATCTAGTGCGATTTCACCGAGTTTGCGCCGTAGGAGTAGAAGAGGTCGGGGAGGTACCTCTTCTACACCTGTTTCTCCGCGTCAGCTACGCTCATCGCTGGTAAAACAGAAAGAGGACACTGTTGAGGTGTCAGAGGGGGAGTCGTCGGATGAGATGCTGCCTTTGAAAGACACAATTTCGAAGGATCTCATCGATTTTGATCAAACCGTGTGCTCTAACCATTCACAAGACGACAGTCCCACTTTTCCTATGCTCGGCAATGATGTAGGCAGCTCATCGAGACTCACGCTTGACTCCACTTTACCAAGTGATCCTTGTGTTGATGAGTCAAATGTTCTCTGCAGTGTGGAGTTGTCGCAGTCGCCCAAGAAGAGACTAGGAGCAATTGATGAATTAACAATATCAAATGCTCCCAACACTCTGACTGTCAAAGGATGTCATCCAGAAGAGGATTCATCGTCAGTGTCGTGGGACTTAAGCAGTGCCAGACCAACATCGTTTGGGTTAGTCAAAATTTCCTTCCTTGGATGTAATGCTAGTTAAGACTATAATAATAACAATGATGTCGATATCAGTGGAAACTGTAGTGTTATTACCCTTTTTGGAAGAGAAGCAATTGCTCTATTGTGTGTCTGTTGATATCTATAATCAAGACATATCTATGAGTGTAGTTCGCGGTTCGTAAAAGCAAATGAAGCAGGTTACATTCTTTCAAGAAGTGTGCGTGTGGGTCGTACTAAGGTCACACAACCTGCGTGCGTCCGTGTGTGCACTTAGTTTGGCAGGCTTGAGCGCACGTGCGCGTGGCAGCTAGCTTGACGTGGTGTGCACACTTGTGCGTTTGTAATTTAAATAGCGTAAAATTGCTGCACACTTGTTTGCAGGTTAAGCAGTGTGTCTGTCGTCTCTTCGTTAATTCCCGTCAACAATTTCGAGTCTCGATTGGAGCTGCGGGACAATCCGGTTCTGCAGTCAGACAAACCCTTTTGGAGCAACTCGAATGGACCAGCTTCTACTGAGGACGATGATGATGATGAAGAGGGATGTGAGAGGGAGAGAGGAAAAAGGGTGGAAACGGGGGAGCCGGATGAGGACAGTGAATCAGATTCTTCTCCTAGTCTCCTAGCTACTATTAGAGCGGCCTCTCTTGCCCTCAATCTCCCCTTCAGCCCTCCAATCGCCTTACCTGGAAACGAAACAGCCTTTGCTCAATTCGCGTCATCGGTTTCTTTACCATCCTTCGATGCGTTTGTTCCTCCTGAGGTGTGCAATGTTGATAGTAAGTACGCCAAACCTGACAGTAGCGTTGCTGCTGTCACTACTTCCAGAGATGGTGATGAGGATGAAGATGATGGAGACGATGGGTCAGGGGATATCACACCAAGCTCCTGGATTCCGGACCCAACAAAGCTTATGTTCTCTGAAAATCTCTTCCCCCCCAAATTCTCTCCGCTGCGGATCCTACAACCTCCATCAGTTCCTATTCTACAAGATAAAGTTTTGAGCTCCTTCTCTGCTATCGCAGAGGCAGCCCCAGGGAGGGAAGGATTCTCTACTAATCCCATCGTTAATACTCATCAGGAAAGCTGTCAGCTACTGTGTCACCAGTCTGGACCGTCCTTATATGAAAGAACACAAGAGTTGGTTACAGTATCGTCTCAAGAAGAAGTAACCGTGGATGAAAGTCTACCTGGCACTAGACATCTCCCCATACAGTGTGAGGTTGTTTCGGATTCAAAGTTGGTCTCGCCGGTAGCGAAGTTTGTAGGTCCCAGCACCGTTAACCCACCTCCTATAGCTCCTCAGCCGTCATCACCACCTGTTCAAATAATCGACCTGCCTACACCCTCTAGCAATGAAGCTGTGTCTTCAAGCAGTGACTGTGCTGCCGAACTTCAAGATCAAAAGCCGACGGTGCAACCGCCGATCCGCCTGAAATTGAAGCTTACAGATATTAGACTGCGTCATAAGAAAGTCAATAGAAAGCGTAAAGATGAACAAGCGGCATCGCAGCGACTGCAGGACATCGATGCTTCATCTCCACCAAAGACTCTTAAGATTGGCACCATTTTGCGGTTCTCGCGTGTTGGGGGAACGTTTCGCACTGAAACAGTGGTGGCACCGCAGTCGTCGCCGAACCGAACCGCATCATCACCACCGCAGCCAACACTACAACCGCCTCCAACACTGTCTACTACTGCTAGAGGTTCCGTTCCGCCGATTCAGCCAATATGGGCGGCATCTAAATTTTCCAAGCGTGGACGTGGAGGAAGAGGGGGTAGAGGTAGGAGTGGAGGCAATTTTTGTGCTGACCGTGTTGCTACTTTTACCACTGCTTCGGCTGCTTGTTGCAATGTGGATGAAAACAACGGTAGAAATGAAGCTTCTGCCGATCTGCAGCAGTCTTTTGTCTCATGCGGTGTCAAGGCAGTTGCTCCTACCCTCTCCAAGAAGTTCTTCTCCTCTTCCAAAGAAGATCGTCGCAGCAGTGCGATCCGAACAGTACGTGGCTTGATATTACATCTTGTGATATGTGAGGGTGAGTGACTGTTCAAAAGTACATTTCGAATCGGTAGATCAATTGCTTCTCGTGACATTCTCCCAAGACGTAGAGTTGGAGAATGAGTTGCTTTTATTTTCATCCAAACGCCAATTTGCGTTTGCTCCGCTCTGATGCCTGTGCGTGTGTGTGTGTGTGTGTCAGCGTCAATGTGGCGGTACCTCTACTGTTGTTGCTGCTGCTGATGGTGATGTGGCTTGCGCATCCACACACCCAACGAGGGCGATGGTGTTTGTAGGGTCGTGTGCGTGTGCACGCGCGATTTTGGCATCCCAAAGGTTTTGGCATTTGCGTGCGTGCCTCCTTACGTGTGTGCGTGCGCGCGTGTGCCTGCGTCGCTATGACAGCAACTTTGACGGAAGAGCAAGGGGAGTGGTGGGGTGAAGGGTGAGCGAATTTGCAGGAGTTTGTGTAGGCATGATTAGTAGTAGTAGTCTGCGCGGAAACGCGCGTGTATAAATTTTCCTTTTTTTTAATTTTTTACCGCCGTTGCCATCGCAACGTTCCTCTCTCCAGATGTTTTCGAGGATATCATTTCCTCTGGCGGCAATATCACCCATAGCCTGAATCACGTTCGACTTAGATTGGCGAGTTTGCAACATTCGTCGTCCCTGAGTAATCCTGAATTATGTCTGGAAATAATTGACTATTTTTCGTTTTCATGTGACATTGAGTTCTTGAAAGAAGAGACAAGCAGTTACGGAATGCTAAGTGCTGCGCACAATGTTGTCACAAGTTTATTGACTTAACTCACACTACCTTGAAATAGCAGGTTCCATTCCCATGATTCAATCCGGTCCAAAAGCCTGGGTTTCAGTAAGCTCCTACTGTCGTCGAACCGTCATAATAAGAGGTATAAAGTAAATGGAACATCCGCCTCCAATGTGAATTGCCATTGCTTAAGCAGTATTTATTCCAAGCGTTATTAATGTTTTTTTTTCTAAGGTGCGTCCTTGGCGTTCGACGTTCGGAAACATAATCCGAAAACGCGGTCGTTTATGTGGTACAACGGATCGTGTAGGATCGCTTCGAAATAGCATATCGAACCAACCTCCTCTTCCATCGGTATCTCGAGCACAATCACAACAGCCTCCTCCTCTTACTCAATCTAATTCCGCTTCTCCCAACGACCCAATCCGTCTCGTGATCCGTCTTTCCAAGGAGAAGGACAGCAGTGTAGATGCGGGTCAGCTCCTGGCAAACTGTCAAGCAAATGGTGGCCAGCTCCAGGAGGTGGAGGAAAGTACCACTGTGACAAGTAATGAGGGAGATACTGTTGATGATGATGTTGGGGAGGATGAGGGAGAGGAATTGGATGAAGGAGATGGAAATGAAGTGGGAAATGCAGTGACTGGTGAATCCGCTCAACAGTTTTTGGTTGCTCCCGAAGCGGAGACCTTTATCGATAAGAATCAGGCTCGAGTGCGTGTAGTTCTCAACAGGGCCCTTTATACTGCCAACGGAATCGATCCGGATGGTGACGACGACGATGATGAAGATGATGAGGAGGAAGAGGGGGAGTCATCTTTTTCTCCCTCTACTCACGGAAGACTTCGCCGTTTACCCACAGTAAAAAACATGCAACCGGCAGTTCAAAGACCTACTATTTCTTCTGAGCAGCGCTATCGCAGCCACCAGGTCCCTCAAACTGGAAGTCAATCCTCTAGGTACGGCTGGTATAACATTTATTAAAATTTGATGAATGAAAAATTGACAATTGTTCTCTCATTTTTTCAGCTATTCATCACAGCAACCTGCTACTTCGATATATAATCACCAGACTACTACAGGTCCTCCAGTCTCCTCATCCGCGACTGCTGTTTTCAGTCCCCGCCGTTGTGACATGTCGACGGCACCCTCAGGTATGCCACAGGCTCGACCGCAAAGCGAGGCTGTTAGTAGTGCTCGGAGTAGTAGTACAGCCAGCGGGAGTCTTCCTGCACCTAGTACGATCTCTCCTCCCGCCCCCTTTACAATCGCTGCAACGACGAGTGAGGCAGAAAGTAGTGGTGGCGGTGGCCCTCCCACACAAGATCATCACCAGAGTGTCGCTGTTGAACAGCAACAGCAACAGCAACAGCAGCATTTCTACCAAAGACACCTTCCTCGCCAGTTTGGTGAACCGGACGAGAGTGAGCAGGCATCAGGCCAGCACTCTTACGTTGTGCCCAAAATGGAGAACACCTCTCAGCCGCCTACTCCGGCTACGTCTGCTTATCCCCAGGAGGCTCACTTTGCTCGCCACTTACGAGATTTTCCCACGATTCCCACACAACAGCACCATCAGCAACAACAGCACCAAGCGCTGGCGGCTGCCTGTGCAGCTGCTGCTGCTGCCTATGTCGGGAATTTTGAACCGGCGACCATGCAGGCAATGTGGGCCTCGTCCTTCCTTAATAATCTTAGTGGGGCCCCAAGTGGTTACGCACAGAGCCAGCAATCGCCGCTCTCCTCCAGTCGTTATAGTCATCATCAGCATGACCAACAGCACTCGTCTCGTGGACACTTGGATACATCACATCAACCTCAACCGCAGCATCAGCAACAGTTGCAACAGCAACCCGTATTTCCACCTTATCGAGGAGAAGGGGATGCTTCACGCGGCCATACTAATGAAGCACATCAGCAGCCCCCATACTCAGTACCTTCGCATTTCACACGTAAGTAGACTTTAATAATCGCCAAGGTTTTCTTCTGAGTCTAATTTTCTGTCTGCATCTCCTCTTATTTACCAGATCGAGTTGTGCCCGATAGTGGAGCGCTGAACTACTACTGGCATTCTCAGCAGTATCAGCAATTCCAGCAGCAGAGTCACAATGCGACACAACTGAGAGCGATTGATAGGGCGGCGTCTTACTACTCCGCCGCCTCGCCGGCTCTACAACAACAGCAGCAACATCATGCATCGACACCACATCCCAACACAGGCCTCGCCTCCCAGTGGTATCAGAGTGGAGGTGGCGGTGTACAATCGTCGACTGGCCAGCCGTCACCAGCTGCACCACAAGCGGCAAGTTCGACGTCTGGCTACTCCCAAATAGACGACTCAGCTGTTGTCGCGGCTGTTGCAGCTGCTGGCTATCGGTTGCCCCCATTTCCAAGACTCTCTTGAACTATCAGAATTCGTCCTCTCTCCCCTTCTACCCACTAAGAATATTTTGCCCCTCTATGTATAGTTCCATGGTCTTATTTTAAAGTGGAAAGTAAGGCAAAGACGGACGTACGCGCATGTATTAACAAGGATTCGCTCATCCACTTTTATGAGAATAGGCAAGCTCCTACCTTCCCCCTCCTGAATCATGTGATACTGTTTTGTTCGCCTTTTCTCTCCCTTTGCGAATCGCTCCCCCTCGTGATTAGTCCTCCAAGAAATCACACTTGCGTGGTTGTCTTGTGAACTAAGTGCGGCAAGGACGACTTGGTAACAAGGGAGAAGAACTCTCTGGATTTTAATCTCAGGCTGTGACTACCCAGCCGCTGTATAGGTCCTGCTCGAATCCCTTCTGACTTCTCCCTGTTGTCATTTTTTTCTTTTTGTACTCTCTCGCTCTCTATATATCTTAATGCGCTCCCCTTTGAGACTGCGAGTGAATCAACGAAGTGTAAACACTACTCTTATGGTAAACCTTTTACTACTGTCAGCGTGTCTTATTCTTTTTGACTAGCAGGAGTGTCATAAGTGATCTGATTAGTTGGAAATCCCTGAAGGACTGAGTGTGGGTTAGGGTGTTTTTGTGCTCTGCGGTGCCTCTGAAACTAGGATGGTGGGGGAAAAAAATGCAGATGGTGCTTGAGTCATCGACAATTCACTGAGGTTGATCTGTTGCGTGGTCACGTGAGCGCCTTTTTTAACTGGGCCGCATGATCTTGAAGCCGTGATTGGAGGAGTAGACTTATGGTTTCTTTCTCAAGGACGCCTGAGGAAGTTAAAGTTGTATATTCAGGTTGCAAGGTTGTGACTATAGCTTCGCCGCATTCAGTCTAGGAGACCGGAGAGCTATTTATTTAACACAAAATATTAGTTGCAAAGTATGCATTAATGTTTGTTAACCAGCTGACGAATGAAATGGTCGCAGTATTAGCTGGTGTTACCAAGGCGAAGGGGAGAGGTTATTGCGCCTTTAAACCCCAAACATAGTGAAATCGTATTTCCTTAATAATGCATAATGCACGGCCTTTCCCAATAACTATTGCCACCAGATAAGAATAATAAGTTTAGGTTTGCTCTTAATAAGGAGAGGTAGAAAACGATCCTAACACGAATTCAGTTCCTGAGGAGCATGAAGAAACATTCTCAGGTTGACACCAGCTCTGCGCCCCATCAACTCTTGCGCCATTCCCTTACGTTCTGTACATGATACCAACTAAAGCTTCCTTAATTGACCATGACCTAAAGTTCCAGGTTCAGGAGCCGAAGAGCAGACGGTCAGCGTAAGAGCCGCCTGTCTACTCGCTGGTCTCTGATCCTCAGACTTCAAGAGATAGTTGGTTTCAGACTATTTATTAGGCATTTTTATTAGAAAGGATGGGGAATGGGATGCAAATGAGGCTAGTAGGAGATATCAGTTGGAGGGAGACTCATCCCCAGCTTAACGCACGTGATTCCCAGTTCCAAACTGATTCTCGCCTCTAACCCATCAAAGTATACTTAAACAAACTAGTATGTATTACAGTCAGATCCTACAATTAGCACTCACAACGTTTCAGGCTTGCATTTTTACAAAAAGTTTCCTGCCATAATGCACCCAAAATGCAACAACCATTCGATTAAACATTGTAGCACTTATACTCAGAGAGGTTAAATCGGTGATAAGCTGAAATAGCATATAAAATATATTAAGCAAGTGCGCTCTTTTAAAAATTGCAGTGCCTTTTTGCGGCTTTGAAAATGCTAATTTTAAGTGCACAGCAGTTTGTGGTTTGCTATAACATTCAACAAGCGATTTCGCAAAAAAATAATGAAAATTGAATTCGAAACCTTTGCTGTTTGTATTGACCTACCGATGCATGCACTTGTAAATATTTTGGTGCGGGGCCATGTTTTGAAGATGAGTGCTTCCGGTGAAACTTTTGCGTCATGGGCGACCCGTGTAACCAGATGTTCTAACCCAACATTCTATCGTGTCGTTAATCGACTTTGGGATAATCCAGCACTACAGAAGGATGTCCTTGCTGTCCTTACTGGTGTTACCAAACTAATTCATTCCCGTGGCGGACGCGAGTCTGCCGCTGAATACTATGCTGCATTAGTAACATGCATCTGTGTCATAACTCCACTTTTTTAGCTATCTTTGTTAAACAACAAAACAACGACCAAGACTGCTGAAGCGTATCTTTTACGGTTGGTTGTGTCGAAGGCGTAAGCGAGTGCTCATTTTCGATGTCGTATTAGTGTTCCTGTATCGCTTTTAAGAATGACTTGCAGTGAGGTATCAAAAACCATAACCAATGTTCTGTCTGCTGCGCTGCAAGAAGATTTGATCGACATTTGTTTATGTAAATCTGTAAGTTTCTTTAATACTCTTGACTCTGTAGCTACTTCTTTCTCTTGGTCGTGTACTGTCCGTCCAGCCAGTCGAAGACTGGGCTTCTGAGTCAGTGCGCCATACATACAGGATATTTCTTCGATTCATTGACTATGATAATGCGGCTCTGCGCAAAGCCGTTCATAAAGTCATATGTGAACTCCTAACCTTTACGATTAGCACCGAGGGTGCATACCATCCTGCTTGCCATCAAACCATAAATCATGTTTGCAATTTAATACGTCAAGCGTCCACGTATGTTCGTTCCCATTCTAGTATAAAAATATGCTTGTTTTTCATGTTTGCTGTTTTTTACATTCAGGGAACTTTCTACTCTTATTCGTATAAGTGATGGTGAATGTGGTCGCTTGTTGTATGCCTTGAATCTGCTGAAATCAGTCATTTGTGTTGCTCCCGAAAAGGATATAAAGTTAGCATGTGAATGCGTTCTGGAATTGACATCTGTCAATAATTCACTGGTACATATTTTCTCGTATTGCAACCCATTTCTTTACACGGGCCGCTAAGGGTCATCTTTATTCCCCTAGGTTTTGAAGTCTGCGTTTGAATGCCTTCAGACCCTGTTTCAGGGCAAGGTCAAGGCTGTAACCGTTCCTCTGGATACTGCAGGGAAACTTATGACTGCTCTTTTTACCTGTAAACCTCGTGACTCTACTTCAATTGATATTGTTACTCTAAAAAAGGATTCTGAATCTCTCATTGCATGGATAAAGTGTTTAAGTGCTGGTGTCGGTTATCTAACTTCACTAGCTGTTGGCCGTCACGAGGAAAGTTCAACGGAATTAGCTAATTATGTTGCAGTGGAACACTTGGAACATTTGGCTCGTGTTGCTCTCAGTATTGTGGCTAATAGTCCCCTGCCAGGCCTTCGTAACTCCATCAGAAGCCTTCTTGTCGATGTCCTTCTCAATCAGCTGGTGAGCTTTTCTTCGCCATAATTGTCCAGCATATCTGGCCGTTATGAGGATTTTGAATCGTCTTACAGACTGAACAATTGGAGGTTTGTGATCTGCTGACGCATCGTCCTCGATTTCTTCCGGATCTATGCCTTACGTTGCAGAGTGCTCTTAATTTGGCACGTCGTGAAACCTGGGCTAATCTTCTCAACGTTTCCTCGCATCTAATGCATGCTTGGGCCATGAAAGCTGTTGTTCGTAATAGCATTGACACGCAGCTACCTGCTGAAGTTATAGGCCTAATTCAACACGTTGCTGGTCTCCGAGATGCCCTGGGAGACGGTGCTGAAGATGCTGTCGATGATGGTGTCAGCGTTAATGTGCTTGTCGACGAAATGGATCGAATGATTCTCACTTCCATGGAGTCTTGGGGCATTGAGTCAGTGCTCCGAGATGCCTTACCTTTGGAACCTCTCGTACTCGAACTTGAATCTGGTGTTGTGGAGATGCGTCGCTCTTGGATTCTTCCACTCATCGCTCGTGTCCATCCTCTTCACTCTTGTTCACTGGCTTTCTTTTACTCTGAGATTCTCCCGCTTGCTGATCGTGCCGTTACAGTTGCTAAAGCGGCCGCTGGGCAGACGTTTAAACGGCAGATTGGTGGTGAGAACGGCGCTCCATTCGTCCCCCTTTCGGCAATTTTAAACGCGGCTGTACAGATGGCCCGTCAGCTATGGATTACGTTGACCGCCTTCACACGGCGTGCTCCCTCTCGTTGGGCTGATCTTACGGACTCAGGTCTCGGCGGTAGGCTAATTGCTTGTCTTCTCACAGCCAAGACTGTCAGGCCGACCATCCTTTCTGCATTGAGACGTCTTGTTACTTTCGCCAAAACAGAAGGTTAATTGCTCTCGTTTTAACGTCGTGCTTTAAACGTCACTCACTTTTGTCAGCCTGATTTACTTACTATCCGTGTAGAAGCCATTGCTGTGATGCGGTCAGGAGCCAAGCAGATGGTGCCCAAGATGCTCTCAATGTATGAGGATCAGGACTCGGCCAATGACCAACAGCTTAAGCAACAACTAGAAAGCACACTGTCTGTGCTCCTACCGCTACTGACACCGAAAGTAAGCTTAGGCTCATCTAGTTCATGTTAGATTTCGAGATTTTTTTGAAGAGATAGTGGCTTTTTGGCAGTCTAGGAAAGACTTTGTTCTCCATTTGGTCAGCATCACGTTTTTTTTAAATCCTACAAAGATGCTCTCAGTGCCTTGCGAAATGGCTCACAAGAAGCTTGTTGGTACCAAAAGGTGAGTGGTTTATTTTGCTGAATTTTTGAACCCTTTCCAGATGTTAATATTTTGTTAAATTCGTGAATCTTCTCCTCCAGACCGATCTACATGGAAATTCTCATGTTAATTTTACCAAATCTCACAAGCGAAAACATCAAATCTGTGCTTGAACAGCTGGAAAATTATTTTGTGGTACGGGTGCATATCTTCTATACCTTGATATATTGCACTCATTCAGTTAAGTTTAATTGTTTTGCTTTACTTACAGCGATAGCCTAATGAGGTGTTTTACACTGATCGATGTAGTCATTGAAATCACCCATTTTTTTCTCAACACGTGCTTTTTCGTTCTGCTAAAAAAATGTCCTTACTCTTTTCCCATAGTATTTGTTTTGATTGCTAGTCATTTAGTTTTATCTCGGGTAATGCTTTTAACTGCCTTTTTATGGCTCTACGCTTGAACCCCTTTGCAATTATTTAATTGCCATAATTACTTAAGTTGTGATATGTGACTATTATACTTTTTTTTATGGGATGATTCGGATTAACATCAGTGAATAGGAGCCAGTGGTTGATTCTTTAAGACTACCACTCTCATCTTCCAGATTTTCAGCATTTGTATTTATGCTTTAATATCTTCACGAACTTGGCTTATTTGTCGTTTCTCTAAGTGAACGTAGTGTTACTATTCGACAATCTATCAATTCAAATGATATTATTTAATCACGAGGGTGCAAGTTCATGAACAGGGTAGCGCTTCAGCGCAAGGCTATGCGGGTCGGTTTGTATACAGGGCTGAACCTGACCGTTTTTGAGTAATTGTTATCGACAATGCTCAAAGGGCATTAAGGGCAACCAGTGCAGGTGTATCAGTCCATGTTTCCCTTTTGCGTTGAAATAGTCAATGGTTTTCTGGCACTAGTAAAACCCGCTTTATCTGAACATGACTCCTTAAAATTATAATCATCCTTCGTCGTCTCACTTTATTTACATCCCTTCGTATCCCAAATAGACGTAGGCTTTCCTGGGTTGACAATGTTTTTACTTTGGCGGATGTTGACTTATCTTTGGGACTGGATTGGTGCTCGTGCTTACGTGAAACAAAAGGTTTGATGGCAAAACTTGCCAGTAAGTGCTACTTTAATGTTCTGCTTTAGCTCAAAGATCCTGGATGTCGAGCTCTCACGAAAGCCGCCTACCGTCTTTTGGAGGCGGTCCTTTCCTCACCCAATCCCTCAGCGAAGGAGTTTGTAGCCGCAAACTTGGCTAATCTCACTTCTTTTATGGCCCAAATAGCGCCTCTCTCCACAGAAGTGGTTGAAGGAGCAGTGACTGAAATTGAACCTACCGATCACCTTTCTACCACCATGGCTGCTTTAACTCTATCTGCAAAGGAGCGCAAAGCTCTTGCCATTGCTACTCCCTGGAAAGCGCGGCTTCGGATTCTCCGTCACCTGCTCCGCGCCCATGCTGAAAAGCAGGGGGACCAAGCCGAGGAGAGGTGTGAAAACGCTGTGCAGGATTTTATCAGCACTTTTATGCCTGAAGTGAGCAGCCAAACAGTTTTAAACTGCTTTTATTTTTATCATCTGGGAACGTACTGGTCGCTCAACTATTTTTGTGAAAATATGAGGTTGAGTTTGTTACAGAATTGTTTAACGGAGCATATTTTCAACATTTACGCTTAATTTTATATCAAGACTGGATGATTCTAAAAATACCGGCGCCTTTTGCGATGGTAACTTACTCTATCCATCATTTACACCATTCGATTCAATTCAGTAAATTACTACTAATTACATCTAGAATCGTCTTCTCCATCAGGCTGACCTTCATTTCGGTTATTTTTGTCTCCTGTCGTTAATAATTGAGCTTATAGCTGGACCAGAACATCGTCTTTTTCATCACACCGCTTCAGAATTTTGAGCTCTGCTGATTCATTGATGGAAGCAGTTTTCATATCCTTTGTGTCAACTATACCGTCTAGAATGACCACAAGCTGTAACACACGTTTCATTTAATCATGGTGAATCTCCATAGAAACAAAAAAATCTCAACAGCAAAAATCAAATGTTCTCGAGACGTTAATCATCTAATTGCTTTCTGTACGTTTGGGTCACCATATGTGAAAGGCAAATATATGTGCTCTTTTTGTCTTTCGTGAATTCCAGGTACCTCCGTGTCTGGGTAATTTAAATAGCCTCGTACGAATTTTGGCCGGCCGTTTATTAGTAGACATGGCTTTGGCTACCGCAGGAAGTCTTTCCTGGGATGTAGAAACGCTCCGAACCGGCTCCTTGCGACGATTTGGTTCAATAACTGCTGCACCTTCAAACATCACTCGAATGGATGATGATGAAGGGGTTGAGGATGCACGGGAAATGGAAGAAATTGAAGGTATCGATGAAGAAGGGAAGAATAGCAACTACGATGACGATGATGAGACCGTTTCGGACCATTCTTATAACCCTACGGAAATCACTTCTGTATGCACTTCCATATCCATTACTGGTGTGGACCCTTTCATTGCCATGAAGGTGGGTGTTTCATCTCTTACTACAAGTAAGGTGTTCATTCTAAGAATCAAAAACTTCCGTTGCTATACTTACAAGCTAAAAACTCTGAAGCTGTCCAGAATTGATGTTGACTCGTTTTATATTGAAGAGGACCGTTGTTAGTTGTTGGGACTGATCAACAATTGTGTTCTTTGACCGTCGTTTTGCCATGCGAGTACACTAACCCTCTGGGCTATTTTTTTCAGAACTGTGCTGGGCTACGAAACATCCTCGCCTACCTTTGGCCTGTGATATTTGAAGTTAGCGTTGAGAACCTGAAGAACTCTCAATCACAATCTCTGCGTCTCGAGGTGGCAACTAAATCGGTTTGTCGTTTGCTTTCCGACTTTAGGCTGCGTCGTAGTCTCATGACTGCAATGCAAGAGGCTGCGGACACCAAGGGTAATTTGGATGCCTCTGAGATCCTCTCCACCGCAAATCGCGCTGCCCATAAACTCGTCCAACTTCCCATTAAGCATATAGCTCGTCTAGGATTGCAGATATCCCGTCTCCTCATCGCTTTTGTCGGGAACTCTGTCTATGTTTCGGATATTGTTGTTGCCATTCATCAAATAAATGAGAGTCACAAACACTCCCTGCGATTTATGGTTAAAGCAATGGTGGAAAAACTACTTAAGAAAGTTAGGTGAGAGTTGAAGACATTTCATAGACGACTTCGAGATAACGGTTATAAATAAAATCTTTCCCATCTTCCTCCTTTAGTGTTCAGGCGCTATTGTCTCTGATGGGTCCAGAGTATCACAAGATGATCAGGAATAGCGCCAAAATTCTTCGAAGAAGAGAACAGAAAGGCAAGACCGAGGGAAGGAAAAGGGGTCCAAAGTCTACCAGTGGTGATATTGATTTGGATGACGAGGTGGGAACTGTGTTTTCAGAGGGTAGTGTTAGACACCCTGGATCCGCCTCTTCTGTGTCTGGTGCCTCATTGAAGTCTCTTGGAAGTGCTCTCTCACTGTCAAGACCTATTCATGTGCAGAGGTGAGTAGTTAACTTTTCTGGCTCTTACTAAACGTTTTTCTTACAACGGCTTTTGGTATGATCTCCCAAAAAGCAACTAAAATTTAGAAATATGTCTTGCGGCAAAAGGAGATATTGACCGTGACTTTCGTTATTCTATACGCAACCAAAGGCATCAGAGAAGACTTTAATTAAGCACTGTTTTAATAATTTGTAGTATCATTGCTAATCCCATGAAGTAGGTAAAGCCAAAACAAGGTCTTAAACATCGCATACAGGCTGCCGAAGTAGCACTCTACACCAAGCTACTTGAAGATGCATCTAGGACTTTAGTAACTTTCCTTTGATTGGTTCTTTAGCATCCAGGAAATCCTGGCAGCTTCAGACGATGAAGCTGACGAAGGTGGTGGTGGTGGTGGTGGTGGTGTTACCGAAACTATGAGGCACAAACCATCGTCACCTCCCCTTAAACGTCTGGGTTTGGCGGCAGAACTTGAGCGCGCTGCTTCTGTTGCTGGGCTTAGTAGGCGCTCCCGACGCAACCTCCTCGTAGGGTCGTATGGAGTGAACTCTGACGGTGACAACGAGGGTTTCGACGATTTAGGTGTGCTTAAACCTTTATTTAGCCATCATGCTCTTAAATAGTTCATGGAACACCTTGGAATTTTTTGTTTTGAAGACGTCAATTTTATTGGAGTGCAGTTTAGTTAAGTCTCATAATTTCCGATCGGTTATTGTGCGTGTTGAATGCTTATGCGTTTTCATGAATAGCACAAATTTTTTGATGCTTTTCCGGACTTAACGCGTCGATTTAGTAGAGGCCAAGGAGTATAGTTTAGCAGCTGACTCGCACAGGAATTGGTGGATCAGCGGTTTACGAATTCAGTGCCATAGCTTTTGGAAGAGAATGCTTTTCGAGGCAGTTTCCAGTTGTGTTCTCATCCGGTGCCATTTGAGCCCAGCAGTATTGTGCTTCTAATGATCAAGTACATTAGAGTGGAAATAAGCCGTATCCACGCGCGCATTTTCAGTTCTCAGTCTTCTCATACTTCTTCTCCCTTGGCTTGTCAATGACCAGATTGGGGTTTGACTGAATGAGGCTGTAAATATCTAACCCCATGGTTAATTATTTTCTTCAAAGGGGACAACTTGATGAGTTTACAGGCCACTTTCTTGCTTTTTTCCCCAAGCTGGCCCAATCTGGTTTGGCTACCTGAATGCACGGATTTGAAGTTGTTCTAGTAGCAATCCTAGTTTTTATGGTCCCATCCGTGCCGTCCATTATTGCGATCTGTCATCCATGTTCTGGCACATAGCTTCTCTCGAAACGTTTTGCGACTTTGAAATTGTTTTATTGGGCTTTTCATATGTGCTCCTGCGTAACTTTTGTATGGCACGTTTTTGGCTTAAAAGATCAATTTCACACTTTAAGACATGATGTGTCAAACGCTTTTCTCAAGGGGTAGCGGAAGCAAAATTGCTTATTGAACAAAAGTTCTCTCTCGATTATCTCTATTTTGCAAAGTGGGCCTTTATATAAAGGCATTCAGGTTAGTATCACTTTTTAACAGCCTTTTACTTCCATGAAAGCGACCATGCTTGCATTGTTCTTGGTCGTATACCGTTTTACTTACGTTGTACCCCTGATTCACTAACTTCTTTTTTCCCATCGCTCTAGCTTACAGTTTGAGTCATATCATTTTTGCTCTTTTGCTTGTCGATTTTCACTAGACGTCGTAGTTAACATTTTGGACGAATTCATAAACGTATCAAACCCAAGTTGCAGTAGGATTTCTATTGTTATGATGATGACCTCTAAATATTAAATCTTTGCAATGTTTTCGAGTACTTGAGCAGTTGAATTAAGGGTTTTAGTCCAATGCTGAGGTGTCTCGATTTCCCCCAGATTTATTTTGCACCCTGCTTATTCAAACAAGTGATGACTGGCTTAAGTTTCGGTGAGCTTAGCAAGCTGGTAATTCTTGTGATCAAAATAAGTCTGCACGTGTAACTTATCGTTGTTGTGATTCACGACCGTCGTGGAAGCACACTACAGCAACACCATACCTCATTTAATTCCTACCACCTTCGCAACATCCCATTGTTCAAATGCTGCCTTTTTAGCCACAATACGAAAAGTGCGATTTGCGGACGATGTTGCTAAGCTTCATCTCACAGGCAAGAAAAGAAACCAGCGCGCAGCCACTGAGGATACTAGTCCTTCTATGACCTATTTGGTGGAAGATGCAGATGATGAGGTGGTGGATCTAGCCGAGCCGGAGTCGCTTGCACGTCATCTCACTGTTGCCTCCTCTGCCCAACTGGCCAAACGCGTCCTCAGGCCGAATGTCTCTGCATCCGGCGTTTCCGCGTTTAAACGTGCTCGACTCACTTCTCTTTCCTCCACTCCCTCTTTTCCTACATCTATTGATGGGAAATTTATCATTAACGATTCCACTGTACAGGATAGTAAGGGTGAGTGGAACTTTCAATTGACTAATAGCTTTCGAAGTGTTTCAAGGGTACTTTGTAAGTTGGTGTCATTGTCCCACGCTTTCCAACTAGTATAGTATGTATTTGAAGCCTGTGCTACTTTATCGAAGATAAAGGAACATTCAATCACAAAAGTACTTCCAAACTCCTCATATGTTTTTCCATTTGTAGCATCAAACATTAAGTTAGGGAATTATGAGTTTAGCCTTAATTAAGAGATCATAATGGACGGACTTTCAGCGCTCGCCATAACCATAGTTCAATCCTCTCTTTACAATTTCATCAAATCTTGCTTATTAATTTCAAGAACCCTGGCCGCTGATTGACGCTGATGATGATGGTGTCGATGACGTCCGTACATGCTCTATGACGCGGGATACCTCAGTAGCTCGGGCCGTCGCTGTTACACCGAAGCGTACTCGCGCACTCCGTTTACCTGGGGCGGAGTATCGGTCGGCGCGTGCGGAGGGCGACATGAAAAAGCCGGGCCGACCTGACCCCTTTGCTTACGCGCCCCTCGGCGCGGGACTGGACACTATCAATCGCCGTGGGATTAGCAGTGGCGTTGCCACTGCATCCGAACGCAGGGCCCTTCTACGGTGTTTAGGAGCTGGAAAACGGAAACGTAAACAGGAAAAGCGAAAGAAGATACGTGGCGTTAGCGCTGGCTTCCATCAAAGAAAGGCGAGCTCTGCCTCTTCCACTAATGTGATGTCAAGACGACAGAAGGCGAGGCGTATTCGGGAGTAGTTTCGTGTGGATCTCCAATTTTAAGTCCTCATAAGTGCAACCAGTTTTTCAAGCTCTTTTAAGGGGTGCAAAGGCGAAAACGATTCATCAGCTGTACATTGTGCTTTGGCTTTAAACGGAAAATGTTGCTTATTTTTTCTGGTTTATTGGTCCACAATGGGTGTTTTGATTTGTTATGGTAAAAGTGCGGTAGAGTTTAATTAGATCTTCATTTCTAGTATTAAATGTCTCGATTATTTACATCGATAGTATAGTAGGTAGTATGTCGTGTCGACTCTTCCACTCATTGCTTCTCGGATTGCATCAGCCTATGACTGGTGGAGATCATTTGTAGTCGTGGACTCAGGGATGTGCATCGAGGGATGTAGTTCAAGTTGCTTGTGGAGTGCCGGCATGCGGCACTTTCCTCTCAAAGCGTTTTTCCTGTCCCGACTCAACTCCCAGGCGGGGCTCTGCATTGCCTTGCGGCAACCAGAACGAGTCCCTCCCATGGGGTTCGTTTCGAAGGATTTAGGTGTCATCATGGAATTGGTTCCGTAGTGTTTTGTGTTTAAAGTATGCGGGTTTCACATCTATCAATTCATCATCAAGCGGTCAAGCTTACTAGAATTTCTTGGGTGTAAGGTAGCAGGGTAGATTCAAGAATGCTTTGATTCTGACTCCTACGAGAACAGTAAAGTAGCTTCCTGTAACAGTGAAATTGGATCAACCGTATTATGATGAGTGGAGAGATGAGGTTCTAGAGATTAGGCGTCATGAAGATCGCTGCCATGTGGGGGCTGATTACTCCTTAGGGTGGTATCAGTAGGTTGCATTTGGCTATCCAGATCATCATGGAGTTCAATTATTATGTTGCTTTCGCGACTCGTTTCCCAGAATAGTGTATGTTGGTAGATGTGTTAATATATGTAGCACCATAGTGAAATACTGTAGGAAGTAATAATTTGCTTTTTTGTTATTTAAGGCAGTGGTCGCTTAACGAAATCGTATTTTTGCAGTTTGATGCTAGTAAGGTCGTGTGGCATTTCCAATTTCTAATGTCGTTGATTTGACTGTTGATGTCAGGGTCAGAGTGAGGTAGCTTCGGATAACCGTCCCGTTGTTTTTTTGTGCTAATCATACATAGGACTCATATCGCGAAAACAGATTCCTGTCAGAAGTGCTTTACTTACTTTGTCCTGTTTCGAATTCTCCTCATCATCAGTTGTTAGTATTATTATGCATTTGACGAACTGGTATAGAATGGCTGAAGTTGTATTGTTTTTGACTTGTTTTTTATAATATGTGGGCGCCTGGTTGCTCTCTTCAAAATTGCCCTTGAATGCTTTGCCGGCCCTAGAGCAGGGTCGTATTCGGACGGGGAACAGGTCATTGTGCAGTCGACATTTCTGCAGCAACTACTTAGGTGACCTTGAACTAATTTGATTTTGGTTTACACAGTATAGGTCTGGTGTGTTCACATCTGGGCGTTGGAATCTTGAGGGCAGGTAGCTTTTTATTTAATCGCTTTAAGCTTTTGGCTGTTTTAATTCCAGAGGTTGGAGTTAAATCATGCACCTTATTGCTACTTAGTCTGACTGGAATGACTGGGATACTGACACTTGGAAATTGGTGGTGTCTGGTGAATTTATGTAGAACAGTTGGTGCAATGTTCATCTTACCGCAAAATAATTCACTCAACGTATGATGGATTTTGTCTCGACTAAACCCGTTTCGGGTGGGTTGAGTTTGCAGCGATCTCATTTAGTGTCAAAACCGTTCCCTTTAGAAGTCACAGCTCCTATTATTGATGACCTTGGAGGTGTAGTACGTCTGCCGTATGCACAAGCAAATTGAATTCACTTCCTCTCGGTACTACGCTTCCCTCTTCATCTTATGCTAAAAAGGGTTTAGCACGTGGGAGTAGTCCTCTAGTTACATGTAGGATGAGGTGTGTGCAGATACGGTCTCATTTCTGTCCCGAGCATTGCTTTTATAGAGGGAAAGCGCTGGAAGTTTTACATTAGATCCAATCATCTTACCCTCAGAGATAGTTTTGCGTCCCATCTTTGCCGGGTGAATTGAAATTGACAGTTTCATTAGTTAACTTGGGAGTCCTTTTTCATCATCTGTGCCGAGGGGCAAATATCTTTGGCTCTCAGGTTGATTTCTCGAACTAACGTCAATTTCATGCACAAAATACAGCAGTGGCGTTAGGTGATTAGATGCCTTGGGAACAGTGGATCGAAGAATTGGTGATTGAAATTATTCGTCACTTAGTTGTTCATCTTGATTGGTCGAATATCGGTTTTTCGTCATTTATGTGTAATGAACATGAAAAGTCATAGTACAGCACTGTAACCCATCTGCTGTCTGATTTGTTTTGGAACGTTTCATAAGGTGAGCCATAGTGTCTGAAGAGTAGGATTGAAAGATCATGTCTCAAAGATGAGAGGATTATAGAAGTGATGGATTTCAGAGTTTGCTCTGTCCCAGAATCCCTCAATTAATGAATTTAAGTTAGGTGCTTCACATTTGACCATGTTAATGTGTGTGTCACTACGATTCATTCGCAACTTTCCTTCACTAGTACTTGGTACGTGGTCGCAACTTCTCATGAAACATATGCCAATGATTTATTTGTTAAATGTTCTACCATTTCTACTACCGATTCAGGACAACAGCGCTTTTTGCGATAAATCAACGAGTTGCATGATTTTGACTGTTTTTGTGCAGCATAAACTTCTCACTTCCATGCTATGCATACCGCGAAACGCCCCTGGAGTTGCAACCAATTTACCCACCTCTCTCTTCATAGTTGGCTGTCAACTATGCATTTTTTTCTTTCATTTCTCCCACTTCGGCGCCCTGCAATTACGCGATCGAGTGGACTAGGTCGCAGTTCTCCCAAGCAGAATGAAAGGGAGCTAGCCAAGTGGCTAGAGATGATGCATGCACGGCTATGCAAGTCCGTTCGCTTCACTTAGACGATTCATTAGGTTGACGAAAAGGAAGCGGTTTGGTAGCATTGCAAATCGGTGGGCTGCTTTAGGAAAACGGCTTTCCAACTCTTCCATCCATACTCATCAATGCATTTTAACATTGGGAAGGCAGTGCCTTCTATTGACTCTGTTTTAAATTTGTAAATCGTGCCACTGCGTGCGTGGTACGAATCTCGTTTCCACGTTATCTCAAAACCGAGTTGTTGACACATATGGAGACTCTTCTATCCCTTGAACCAGATTAATCTCCATTCTACTGGTTCTCGTAACTTTTGGTTTACAGGGTTGTTACAACCTGCCGTTCATTCGTCCAAGTTACAGATTTTTTTTGTGCCATGCATTGCGAGTCTCTTTAATGAACGAATTAAAAATAGCCTAAGGGAAGAATTGTGTTTTCTAATCAAACGTTTGCTTTTTAAAAGTACTTATCAATTGTTGCGTCAAAACAATTGAGTTTCGGACGCCTGTATTTCGCTGCAAAAATTCACAGCATCTCAAACATCATACATGACCTGCCATGTGCAAGTCAAGTAGGCTGAAGTTAGAAATGGCAACTCTCCTCGACTTTGCTGAAGGTCGAATGACATCTGAGACAAAGATCGACAAACACCTTCTTCTGTGGGAATACTCTGAACTCACAGTTTTTCCTGGCCATGAGAAAAGGCCAATTCCACAATGGGAGATTTGCGGAAGGTGTATGATCTTAGTTTGTGTTTATCTTCATCGCCATACTAGCATTTGCTGTCTTACTTCTTTGATAGCTGTCCACAAGCTAGTGCAAAAATTCTAGACAATTATATGATCGTATGTAAAAAAGTAGACAGATTAGTAATACAAAAGTATGATGAACGCTTATGGGGCTACAGTCGACATTTTTAATTACCCTTATGCAGTTTTATGAGGTTGGGATTTGGAGAAGTCTTGTGACTCAGTGGAGAAGCATTGTAAGGGGCAGTTCAAACTCACTACTTTCCACCATGAGGTAGACACGGCCTTACTCATTTACCCCACGAATGGTATTCTCTGCACGGGAACATTCCTGCCTTGGGGCTATCACTCCTCATGTAAGGCTGTTGTCATCTTCATTGAAAAAAACTTTCAGTAGTTGAAATAATATTACTAGCTACTGGAATGTTGTAAATGAATTTTTTGCGCCACAACTAAAGAGGTGTTGATGTTTTTTTGCAAATAGTCACCGTTGCATTCAAGCATAAGTAGCATGTAGAATTTTGGTCACTGCATCGCTTAGGGACACTCTATTTGCACAATGCGCCATGAACAGTTTATCCGCATATGGTTTGCAAAAGGTAAACTTTGTTTTATAATGCAATAAAAAACACGGTAATAATGGTTGACGCGATAATGCTAATTCTGAAGGAATAAAGTTCGCCCTGCGTATATTGCAGCTTCCCTTAAATACAATTACAGTCATTCGATTACGTGGAGTCGACAAATTTAATAGTCTAAAAGCTACAAGTAGTCATGAGGAGAGAGAGGTAGCGGTAATTTATGGAGCTAATTTCCTTTCTTAGTTCGGGTTGGGCACCACAGTGACCGGCACCACCCCTTGATGGATGACAAAGTCGCTGACACTTCCAAGGAGTGCCCGAGAGACTCGGCCCAGTCCTCGCGTACCCATTACAACCAAGTGAGCTTCCATCTCTTGAGCAATGCGTATAATACCCTCTCCAATTTTCTCCGCAGGTTTGCTCAAGAAGGCGCAGTTCAGGGACGCGGCTTGACCCTCAGCTAAGTAGTCCTCTTCCAGTCGCCGTGCCTTTTCCACTCTGTCACGGAGTCGGCGACCCCATTCCTCTACCGGCACTGAACCAAGATTGGAGAGACTGAAAACGCTCAACGAGGGTGCCTCGAAGATATGGAGAAATGTAACACCGTCCTCTGGCATTCGGGCGTATTGGAGGTACCAGCGGAAGGCGTATTTTGCATGGTCTGAGCCGTCTACGGCGATAATGACTTGACGTCCTCCTGGAGAAGGAACTCCTGTGTACTTCTTCGTTGTGGTCATGGTCGATTTGACCAAGTCAAGTCCTGTAGTGCAATACTGAACATATTATGACTGCTGCCGATTTTCTATTGGTTATTGTGTATTCAACCAATCAGAAGGGGCGTTGTTCGGACGCAGATTTCTCTTACTCTTCGGATGAGAGGGGTTAAGATGTGCTTAAATAGGATGCTTAAGGATTTCTAACCTGAAAATCATTATACTATTTTCGATCAGTGAAATCCTAGCCCTTGAGACTTAGCACTTGGTAACGACATAAAGTGCAGCTGCAAAGCATAGACGCACAATAGCAAGGCCATTTCTTGCACCACCCAAATACGTTGTTTGACATTTTCTCATTTCATTTTCAGCATAGCACTGCTTCGGTAGTGTTATGCTGAAAACTCAGGACTAGCATATGAAAAGGGTTATCTTTCGAGCGCATCCGAGGGCTTGTGAACCTAAAGTGGATACAGACAGAAGGTTGCGCGATTACCATTGACCGAGTGACCCTAGAGCAATTATAAGCCTAAAATTAATGCATCGCTCAGTAGATTTAACTCGTTTCGTTCTCCAGAAGTGGTTTTAAGTTTGGCCCCTCCATTCTCTTTTATGGGAATAGGAGGGGAGACATAGTTTGACAGGGTGTCAAATTGTATCGCGTCGAGAGCCATTTCAATCAATTTACGTTAGTAAGTAGTCAAAATCGTAAAGCAAAATTGAGAAAATCATTTCACTTGATTTTATTTTTTTACATTCATTCCAATGTAATTACTATTTAAAAAGTCCCAACCATCGACGAAGACTTGACAGCAATGCAGAATTTGAGGTGTTACACGTTTCTGGTACTGATGGAGAGAGTTTAGAACAAAAAAAGTATGAAACCACAATTGTTAAAGTTGCTTTGTAAAATGACACAAGGTTAAAAAATGGAAACAAGAATTTATTTGTTTGAGTGTGTTTATAGTGTCTACTAGTGCGATTTACACACCGTTGAAATAAGGCACTGAAAGACACGTCAAGTGTGACTTTATTGAGAAATGATCATGTGTGAAATCTAGCATTGCCTGACAGGGTCTTGTCATCGGCAATTCACATGTCTCCTGCAAAACATGAAGGTGGTGAAAGCTTCTCACTGCTGGTGTCGGGATCAGTGAAGAGGCTGTCAGCGAGGTCTTTAGATCAGCCTATAGAGGGAAAGACTTCAGCACCCGCGTGATTAAACACTCGAAAAAACGCATAATCAAGTCGCCACATTTGCTTACTTCACTCTGCCAATCGGGGAATACGAAGCGAAAATGGCGCCGTAAGATTGCAATGACGGCGCCTTCAATTGCTGTGAAGCCATGCAAACAGTTCATATTAGGGGTCTGGTGAGGCACTGGCGCACCTAATGCCTCATAATACTCACTAAACGCAACATGAAGCGTCGTTGGGCGGGAGCAAAACAACAAGACACTGTCATTCGTCTTTTATCGATCGCAAACCATCGTCATGACAACGCAAAAGTGTCAATAACTAAAAAAATTCCCCAAGGCATTGACATTAAGTTTAAATACAAATAATCATGGTTGAAGGGTGAGGTGAATCCGATCCTGGGACAAACTTAGAGCACTTTGGGTGGTTTCATTATCCCTCAAAATCCTTACAATCTGTTCATCCTTAAAAGCTGGAGAGTGTGAGCTTTAGGTGGCACAAATTTGTCTCTTTTGCTGTCCGCAGTGCATGACACAGGAGGTGGAAATGCAGGAAACGGCAAATAGTTTATGAAACCGTGCAAACTCGCCCTGATTTATGGGTCTAGGCTGTTTTATCAATTGTAGTAATGTGACACCTGCGGAAATGCTGTTGTGGACTGTTTGATTAAAGTAATGTACTATTTCCTACACTTTCGCTTAATGGCCTTCCGGTCGCCTCTTGGGATTTCTGTGCTCCATTTATGCACGTCTACCATGACTACTCACCAGACCAATGGCTGAGGCAAATAAACTCGGTCATTTGACAATGGAAGAACTTGTGAAACCTCCTCTATGGCTTGACAATGGAGTCTGCTCCCGGCAACCGTCTCACCTTCTTTTATGTAAATTTGCTACTAACTTCCATTATGCGTGGTAGAGAGTTTGTAATGAGGCCGTTCATAAGATTGACGTTGGAATATTGCGTAGATAAGCAAAAGAGATCTATGCTTTATTGTATAAGGTAGGAATGTAAGTAGGACGAGATGACAGTGATAGAAGGACATCAAATAAGCCTACGATTAGGCAAGCATTCTTGTGATTAACATTGGAGGATCAGAAGCCTCCGGCAGTAAGAGGACAGCGAAAGGTTCTATTAAGATTGGAAAATTTGGGAAGGACCCTCTTTTCTGTAACACGGGAATGCAATGACAGTGCTGCTCCGCCTTATCAACAAGCCTCAACAAAGGTGAACCGGCGTATATTTTGCCAGTTAGTTTAACTTTAAAGTTAACTACGAGAGCACATAGGAATCTATAAGTTTAAATTCGGTTCAGTACAATCTTCTCTGGTCCGTAGTGGTACTTTTCTAATCCTCCTACACTCCAGACATAAAATCTCCTTTACGATTTTAGGTAAGACTTGGAGAGCCACAATGAATAACACTCGTTTAGTTAACAAGTATAGAAGTTTTTTTTGGAATGATTCACTTAAACACTTTGACAGTGTTTTCCAAACGCCCCATTACAACTGACACTGAAACATTTGCCTACTGAGAGATGAACAAATTTGTAAACTTGAAAAATTTTTTTTCAGTTGGTCTATGCTTTAAAAAAAGGTTTCCAACGGAAGTGCGTGTCCGTACCCTCCTCATCAAGTGTCCACATGGATAGGCGACTTTCACCAGCAGCTTATATTTTGAGCTCAGTGACGCAACGACTAGAGACGTGACGTAAAATACGCCTGCAACAACGACGGCGGTGAATTCTCAAGTGTCGCCACTAGGGAAAGCTTGAGTGACAAGTCAGGCATGTTGATGATGCACATCTCGAGGGTTCTTAGGATTTTAATGGAAGCCAGTGTATCCAGAGGTGTCGCACGTGCATTTCTCTTAAAGCACTTCACAGAAGGCACATTAAATTAGTAAGATAAAATAGTGGTGGCCTTATATCCAGCATTACTGCATTTAAAAACTTTAACTCAACAGTTTGATTAGAATTTCTACCTTTTATTAAAGCCGTGAAGAGTTAGGCGATCCTATATAAAGTAGCCTTTGTTATTTGTTACGGCTACGTCTGCGCTTCAGAGCATCTTCGCAACTAACCAAACGTAAAACATCCTTTCTTATGAAACTAACTTTAACAATGACGATAATGCAGGGCGATTATGGCAGAAGATACAGAGCCTTAACAGTGCAAATCGGCTGCTACATCGGATGCATCAACTGCCGACAGATATTTAAGAGGAAAAATGGTGGTTACTAAAAAGATTACGCAAGTTTGGCTACCAAAATTCTGTCCCCACATTTAGAGTTACAACTACAACGCTCATTCCATCTCCAATCCAATAAATTTCAAAATTTAATGATTTGTAAATGTAATAGAAAAATTTTCATTATTTCGGATAAATAGTTACTGCTAACTGGACTCCTGTCGCCAACTCTCTAACCCACTTTACTTTTACTTTCTCCCTCACTACTCATTGCATAACACCATCGCAAT